GGTGCAGTTGGTCGCGATACATTGGTGCAGTTGGTCGCGATACATTAGTGCAGTGTCATGATACATTAGTGCAGTGGGTCATGATACATTAGTGCAGTGTGTCATGATACATTAGTGCAGTGTGTCATGATACATTAGTGCAGTGTGTCATGACACATTAGTGCAGCGTGTCATGATACATTAGTGCAGTGTGTCACAATACATTAGTGCAGTGTGTCACAATACATTAGTGCAGTGTGTCACAATACATTAGTGCAGTGTGTCACAATACATTAGTGCAGTGTGTCACAATACATCCAATACCTCCAGTGTGTCACAATACATTAGTGCAGTGTGTCACAATACATTAGTGCAGTGTGTCACAATACATTAGTGCAGTGTGTCACAATACATCCAATACCTCCAGTGTGTCACAATACATCCAATACCTCCAGTGTGTCACAATACATCCAATACCTCCAGTGTGTCACAATAACATTAGTTCAGTGTGTCACAATAACATTAGTCCACTGTGTCACAATAACATTAGTCCACTGTGTCATGATACATTAGTCCAGTGTGTCATGATACATTAGTCCAGTGTGTCATGATACATTAGTCCCAGTGTGTCACAATAACATTAGTCCACTGTGTCATGATACATTAGTCCAGTGTGTCATGATACATTAGTCCAGAGTGTCATGATACATTAGTCCAGTGTGTCATGATACATTAGTCCAGTGTGTCATGACATATTAGTCCAGTGTGTCATGATACATTAGTCCAGTGTGTCATGATACATTAGTCCAGTGTGTCATTGGTACATTGGTGCAGTGTGAAGATGTGTCAGGTGAACAAACTTTAAGCAAGTTGTTGATATCTCTTATGAGGGATTAGTTCATCTCTGGTTTGCTAATATACAGATTTACTGTGTAATGAAATTATGTTTGTCTAAACTGTGTAACCAGTATGAACAATTTGGAAAGCTCTAAAGCAAACAGTGTTGTACGGTAACATTAGAAAAAAAAACCAGTAAAGTGGGAATTAGCATGGTTACCCACTGTGTCTAAAACTTTAAAAACTTCGTACTGACTATATGTACCCCCTTCTTTTGGTAGGGTGGGGGAGGGGTGGGAGGTCCCTGAGCTTGAGAATTTAAACCCCTTGCCAAAAGAAGCACAAACTACAACGCTTCCAGGCTTTTGTGTTGCAATGTAAAACGTACTGCAAAGGACCTGCTACATGATTACGATGATTGGATTGCCCTTTTTTAATATAGTTCCTCATGTTGTCGCGACCCTTTAATACAGTTCTCATGTTGTGGCGACCCTTTAATACAGTTCCTCATGTTGTGGTGACCCTTTAATACAGTTCTTCATGCTGTGGCGACCCTTTAATACAGTTCCTCATGATGTGGCAACCCTTTAATACAGCTCCTCATGTTGTGACAACCCTTTAATACAGTTCCTCATGCTGTGACAACCATTTAATACAGTTCCTCATGTTGTGGCAACCCTTTAATACAGTTCCTCATGTTGTGACAACCCTTTAGTACAGTTCCTCATGTTGTGACAACCCTTTAATACAGTTCTCATGTTGTGGCGACCCTTTAATACAGTTCCTCATGCTGTGACAACCCTTTAATTCAGTTCATGTTGTGGCAACCCTTTAATACAGTTCCTCATACTGTGGTGACCCTTTAATACAGTTCCTCATGTTGTGGCGACCCTTTAATACAGTTCCTCATGCTGTGGCGATCCTTTAATACAGTTCCTCATGTTGTGGCGACCCTTAAATATAGTTCCTCATTTTGTGGCGACCCTTTAATACAGTTCCTCATGTTGTGGCAACCCTTTAATACAGTTCTTCGTGTTGTGGTGACCCTTTAATACAGTTCCTCATGGTGTGGCGACCCTTTAATACAGTTCCTCATGTTGTGGCAACCCTTTAATACAGTTCCTCATGTTGTGGCGACCCTTTAATACAGTTCCTCATGCTGTGACAACCCTTTAATACAGTTCCTCATGTTGTGGCGACCCTTTAATACAGTTCCTCATGCTGTAGCAACCCTTTCATACAGTTCCTCATGTAGTGGCAACCCTTTAATACAGTTCCTCATGTTGTGGCAACCCTTTAATCCTCATGTTGTGGCGACCCTTTAATCCTCATGTTGTGGCGACCCTTTAATACAGTTCCTCATGTTGTGGAGGCTCCCCAACCATAGAATTATTTTCGTTGCTACTTGATTACTTCAGTAAACATGTGTTCTGCGATGGTCTTTGGTGAACCCTGTGAAAGGGTCATTCGACCCAAAATAGGGTCATGACTGCTAGGCTGAGAACAGCTACTGTAAGGGGAGTAATCAATAGATATAAATACAACCCAGAATCAAAGCTTACATCTCTCAGCGCTGCAGACTAATTATAGCTTGACACCTGACCCAGTGACACAGTCACCACTGCAGCCAAGGGGGAAAATATGATTAGGACTTTTTTAAAATAAAAACTGGTTTTTTTAAAAACAGGGAAACCTTGTAAATGTCATTTTTAGTAAATTTAGTTATCCCCTGTCACGCTAACAACTGAGCATTTTCTGCTCTATCTGTTGCTAAAACTCTGCCAAAACTTGCAGAAACAACTCATCCGGAAGCAGATACACTACTTGAAGAGCTAAGAGACTCATCCGGAAGCAGATATGCTGCTGGAAGCACCAAGAGACTCATCCGGAAGTGGATACGTTGCTGGAAGAGCCAAGAGACTCATCCAGAAGTGGATACGTTGCTGGAAGAGCCAAGAGACTCATCCGGAAGTGGATACGTTGCTGGAAGAGACAAGAGACTCATCCGGAAGTGGATACGTTGCTGGAAGAGCCAAGAGACTCATCCGGAAGTGGATACGTTGCTGGAAGAGCCAAGAGACTCATCCCAAAGTGGATACGTTGCTGGAAGAGCCAAGAGACTCATCCTGAAGCGGATACGCTGCTGGAAGAGCCAAGAGACTCATCCGGAAGCGGATATGCTGCTGGAAGCACCAAGAGACTCATCTGGAAGCGGATATGCTGCTGGAAGCACCAAGAGACTCATCCGGAAGTGGATACACTGCTGGAAGAGCCAAGAGACTCATCCCGAAGCAGATAAGCTGCTAGAAGAGCCAAGAGACTCATCCGGAAGCGGATGCGTTGCTGGAAGAGCCAAGAGACTCATCCGGAAGCGGATACGCTGCTGGAAGAGCCAAGAATTTCTCCAAAAGCAGCTGAAGAGACAACACTGAAAGATGCTCATCTTAGTCTATCTGAAGCTTAAAAGGCATCATAATGCAACAAAGAAACAGCAGCACACTGAAGAAATATATTTACTGCTGGGTAAGCCAGGGCAAACCCCAAAATGTAGTTAAAGAGACATCAAAGGAAGATGCTTTTTCTCGTCCAGTCGAAGCTTAACTCTTCGAGTCCCAGGAGGTTCAACACCAGAGGCCCAAGGGGTTGTTATGTAATTTTGAAATGTCACAAGTGTTGTATATTTAAACAGACCTTACGAATTCAACTCCCAGGCAACGTAAACATATTAAACATCAAAGTGACTAAGAAATGTTGAGGAATAATATTAGAATACTGCTACAAAAAGAAATTGTGTTAGTAGTTAATTTTTAGTAAATAAACAGATGGCATGTTTAGAAAAATTAGTAAAAAGAAATAGTATTTTTTTTCCACTTACAACCATAGCGCTAAAAAAAAATTTGATAAAATGTATTCAAAATGAATCATAAATGAACATAAACCACTTAGTAATAGAATAAATACAATATAAACACAGTCTGTCCATCAGATCACTTTCCAGAGACAATTTTTAGAACATCATAACCAGTTTCTGGTAAAGAAACAGTATTTTCATATAAAAACAAACTTTATAACACTCAATTTGCCCATAATTTTATAGCCTGTGTTCCCAAATAATAAGGGAATCCCACTAGCCTAACTGGCACTGAAAAATATTGCCTTTTCCCCTAATATTTATTTGTACCATCGCACTTTGTTATTATTATAGGCTTTGCATAAGGTATATATCCCAGCTATCCCTCATCAAAGTCTGACTCTATCAATAACTGAAACAAGTCTACTTCGTAAATTTCTTTGACTAGCTCAAAACACATATGATAAACATGTGTTTTATTTTAAATACAAGGCTTCTAAAGTGATAAACTGACCACCTGGGTAGTAACCGACCAGCGTGTGATGCATTCCTTGGGACTTAAAGAGTTAAAATGTATCAGATGTGCAGAAACATAACGTCTAGATGCAGATGTGCTGCTGTATGAGCAAGAAGTATCTTTAAAAAAAAAAAAGGACAGACTTTTTTCTAGTTAAAAAGCTAAAAATATATCAGAATGTGAAGTATGGCAGATGCAGATACACTGCTGGATTAACCAAGGGAATCTGCTAAAGAAGTTGAATAGACATCAAAGATAGATGCTTTTTCTAGCGCTCTAAATGTATCCAACTTGTGAAAGCAGCATGCTCAAACAACAGGTGCGTTACTGGATTAACTAGTTGTGTCTCAACAAAGTGCTAAACCGACACCATGGATGCATTTTACAGCTGCATATTGACAACAAATTACATCAGCATTTGCAAAAACAGCACGTCCAGCTGCAGGTACGCTGCTGGATGAAATAGAAAAGATTCCATTAGATGTTGAACAGACACCATAGAACGATGCATTCTATTTCCTCTAAAGCTCAAAATGGATCAGAATTTGCAGAAACAGCACATCCCACAGCAGATATGATGGTGGATCAGCTCAAAAAGGATCCAACAGACACTGAACAGACAATATAATACAATCTGTTAGCTGTCTCCTAAACAGGTCTCTAAATTGAGTTAGGAAAGCGGCTGTTACAGGGAAATGGTACCAACTGGAAGTGTCGGTTTTCTGACTCCTTGGGGTGAAAGGGTTCAAGGGAAAATACCTGCTTTAAAAAAAATACATCACACTGTGCATAAAAGCTATCAAAAGCAGAAGAGCATTATCTTGTCTTGTTCTGTATGGCACTGATTTCCCTCAGGAACACCAGTATCACTTTCATAAAGTCTTGAATGTCTTCAATAGGTACTTCACTAATTTTGTGTAGATGGATGATCACCTAGGCAAACATCAATAAACACAGTTCAGTTAGAACAACACAGATGGGAGTAAGTTGTTTGAATTGTACAACACAAATAAATGTATACTCACAGCTTGTAATTATTATTACACTCGGACAACACAAGCAGATATACACTCACAGCTTATAATTATTATACTGGGACAACTACAAATAGATATAATAAAAACAGTAAAATAGATGCAATCGTACACTAACAGATATATGCTTACTAGACAGAGAAATATTTACAGTCAAAATACAAACAGAAATAGACCCACAGCTGGTAATAATTACTACACTTAAACACCACAAACAGATATGACAATAGCACTCAGATACAATTGTACAATCAGATAGCACTAAAAGACGCATACGCATGAAACATTAAAAATATATAAATAAATATTAACTCAAGGACGGAGGTAATTTCTGTAAATCAAAGTTGAATAATCAAAGAACACTTGACATTAAGTGACAAGACAAGATCACAAACACTGAGGTCTTGGAAAGAACATGGTACTACAACCAAGTTCAGTCTTGGAGTGCAGAGACGGCTAGGTGATATTCAGAGGATCAGGAATGGTAGTCTCTAAAGACATCCTTTATGGTGGAATACAGAGGAGCTGAAGATGTCCAGGTCAGCACAGTACCGAGATGTGTGCAATAAGGACATGAATGATGCAGGTACTGAGGTAAAGGATGCCATAGGCCTAGTTGCATGAATGTGCAAAATCAGGAATGGAGATAAAGGAGTCAATAACAACCAGCTAGATAACAAACACATGCCTTCTGAGAGTTTGATCAATAACAACCAGCTAGATAACAAACACATGCCTTCTGAGTGAGAGTTTGATCAATAACAACCAGCTAGATAACAAACACATGTCTTCTGAGTGAGAGTTTGATCAATAACAACCAGCTAGATAACAAACACATGCCTTCTGAGTGAGAGTTTGATCAATAACAACCAGCTAGATAACAAACACATGTCTTCTGAGTGAGAGTTTGATCAATAACAACTAGCAAGATAACAAACACATGCCTTCTGAGTGAGAGTGATCAATAACAACTAGCAAGATAACAAACACATGCCTTCTGAGTGAGAGTTTGATCAATAACCAGCTAGGTGACAACCACATGCCTTCTGAGTGAGAGTTTGATCAATAACAACCAGCTAGATAACAACCCCATGCTTTCTGAGATAGTATTATCAGTAAAACCTAGCTAGGTGACAACCACATGCATTCTGACAAGGTATTATCAATAACAACCAGCTAGATAACAACCACATACCTTCTGAGATAGATTGTTATCAGTAACAACCAGCTAGATAACAACCACATACCTTCTGAGATATTTTATCAGTAATAACAATCAAAACAATCAAGCGGGTGAAAACCACATACCTTCTTATTAGGGTATTATCAATAAAAACAACCAACCGGATGACAATCAAAATACCTTTTGAGTGTGCATATTATCCAATAACAACCAACATGGTGACAACCACATATCTTCCAAATTATGTAATATCTATAAAATTAAAAAATTACAAACTTTGTGACAACCACATACTCTCTGAGTGTGCACACTATCCAATAATAACCAACCAGGTGACAGTCACATACCTTTTGAGTGAGTGTGCTGTCAACAACATGCACAGCTGTAGCCACAACAGCCACAGCCAGCAGCATTTTATCCATCATCACTGCTGCCAGTTTTGATCTGTGGAGGTCATTAATGCTGATATAATTTAATAAACAAATTATCCCAAACATTTCTCCTGCCAGTTTTGAACTGTGGAGTGTATGAATGCTGAGATAATTTAATGAACAAATTACTTCTAGACTGCTACTGCCAGTTTGGATCTGTAATGTATGAATGCTGATATGATTTAAAGAAACAAATCACCCACACATCACAGCTGACAGTGCTGTGAAGTCCATTAACTTTTAGTACCAGAAGGTTTGACAGGAGATTCCAAAGCAAAGACCATAATGATTACCTTTCAAAGTGGCAATATGCAGAGTGGTAATTACCAGCAGGGAAGCCAGATTTCTTTAGTATCTTTTAAGTGTTGTAAGAAAGGGAACACTATGCTATATAGAAGAAAATCACTATGAAAATAGGGCATTACCCTTACAAAATCTAGAAAATATGCATACAAAAAAAAAAAAAACAGGTCACTAATAAATTAGTTAAACGTATTAATCTACATTTTAAAACTTTTTCAAAACATATCAAGATACAGGGAAGGAAAAATCAATAAACATGAACAAGGTTAAGCATTTAACAGACTACATACCCGAAAATAGCACATGCATAGGGTGACTCATAATGTGACCCAGTGGTCTTTATCACTGAGGTTTTCCCGCTCAAAAGACACACACACACACACACAACCCACCCTCAAGCTATTGTTAGTTAATATATTCATATCCTGACCTCCTACTGCACAGGGGCAGAAACATCCAACAGAATTAACAATGCACCTCGTAAACAGCAAAATTGACATCTATGAGAAATTGGACCTAAGTGGAAATGTCAGGTTTGTGTGCATGTCACTGGGCAAGAGGGATAGGATGCAGACTTTGGCTCCCGAGATAATGAGGTCGGATGACCAGCTAGTTCCCTTTCTTACCAAATTCCCTTCCTGATCTTCAGAAAAAGATCTAAGATGGAGGTTTCAGAAGCGGACTTTCACTCAAACAGTGGCGAGGTGTGATCAGTTAGATTGTGTAAGCGGTTTAGACAAAATTAAGCGTTAGCAGGTACACTGAAGATGGTGTTACTTGATATTTTCCTTCCCGTCACTTTGCTGTTGACAGTATGCATGAGCAGCTAGCAGTGCACTATTATTAGATGGTAATTTTAATTTATGCAGCCGACGTTCTTTTCGCTTTAGTACTGTTAATAAGGAAGTTGACATGGCGGAGCGGCTAGACGCTCGCCTGCAGATCGGAAGGTCATGGGTTTGCTCCCTGGCGGAGCCAGATTTTTTTTTTTTTTTTATGACCTTGGCTCCCAGGTCGACCCAGCCTTGGGTGGGTACCAGGTGTAGTCACAGGATGTAAAGGCGGCCGGCGTGATGCTGATCACATCACCCATCTTGTGCCGATTGGACTATAAAATATAGGTCTAGCCCTATACGCCTAAAGGCGTGGAAAAGAGTCCTTGACTTACTACTTTACTACTGTTAATTAGCTTTACATGCATGGCGAGACATAAACCAAGAGGCGTATTTGTAATAAATAGTCAACATTAATAATAAATAGTAAAATAATCAGTTTTCTCCCCCACAGAAAGTGTAAGCAATGATTACAGCCATTACATTTACGCCTCGCCACTGTTCAGAGTGTGACATCATCTGACAGGTTACCTTTGCTCCTCTGTAGAGATGAGGGCACCGGCTCCAGCACCGGCTGTGCTCAAGTATAACCGGTCATAAACCTCGTGCAGGTGCAGACTAATGAGAGTCAAGATCTTGACCGCTGTGTTGTGGTAAACTTTGATGTGCAGGTCTTCCCCACGAGTGTTGTGTCCTGGAAAATAAAACATTTTCTTTAGGGAAGCATAATAGAAAAAAGTACCATAAATTGTTGTGTACAAGTTGACCTGAAGGACAAGTATTCTTCTTCTGTGCGCTCACTGGCTGTAAACTATAGCATGAAGTTCTGATTGTTCGTCCACCTCTGGATTTTAGACATGTTTCAGAACCTGAGTCTTGCGTGTAGATCCATTTTGCAGATCTGGCTTATTTGTATGCAGACTGTTGCTTTCTTACCTTTCAGGCAGATGCACTCAGACTTCAGTAAGTCGACTCCTACATCATGCTGACTGGGGATCGCGGTGGGTCTATTCTTGTTATCCCTACAATGGAGACCTGGAAATCACACAAGCAGTGAATAAATCGACCTTAAAATGTCTATCTCCGAATTCTGAGCTGGAGCTATGCCTACCTGACACAATTTATACCTGCCACATAAGTCAAACCCCTAGTTCTCGAAAGATATTTTTAGACTTACAAACTCTACTTAATATGACACAACAGGTGATAAGTTCTTTACATACATTATAATAAATAGAAAGTAATTTGTGAAATCTAGTTTTGATAATATGTAAGTGAATCATGGACAATAATCTAATTTGTGAAATCAAGTTTTGATATTAGGTAAGTGAATCTTGGACAATAATCTAATTTGTGAAATCAAGTTTTGATATTACATAAGTGAATCATGGACAATAATCTAATTTATGAAATCAAGTTTTGATATTACATAAGTGAATCATGGAAAATAATCTAATTTGTGAAATCAAGTTTTGATATTACATAAGTAAATCATGGACAATAATCTAATTTGTGAAAAATTATGTGGAAGCTGCAGAATGGTTTTACAGATGAAAGATGAGAACACTATGGGCAGATAGAAAGGGGGTAATGAAGATGTTGAGGAACAGCTGGCCAAATAGTTAAGAATGCAGGGCTCTAAAGGGGGACCCAGGTTCGAATCCTCAGTAAGTTTGGAAAATGTTTGTGTTCCGTCAGGGGCAAAAATAAAATCCTAACCTACACTGTTCGTGGCAACAACAATAGCCATGTGGTCCTAAATCCTTAGGCTCAAAGATCTTCCTGTCTACACCGGAAAAGTGGTAAATACAGGTGGTAATGGCAGGTAAATGATGATGTTTTAAAAATAGTTTTAACACATGAAGACAGTTGATTAACTGCATTAGGAGAACATTTATATTCTTTGGTAACATCATGAGAATAGTGGAAATTGGAGTGCATTGTAAGAGGAGGAAAGTCTGAAGATAAGCAGAGAGAGACCATTAGAGAAGATGCTGGTCAACTTGGCATCATGGCATGAAGGATCATACAGAGACAGAAGGCTGAGCAGAGACATGACTACTGATGCCAGATGGCATCATCTATAACAATAAGATAAAATGGTAAAAGACAAAGAGGCAAAGACCTTCTTTTTTTTTTTCAAAAGAGATAAAAAATTTATATATATATATATATCTCCTTAATATATCTTATCTTTTTTCTTTTCATTTTAAATTTCTTTGTGTGTGTGTGTGTGTGTGTGTGCGCGCGCGCGTGCGTGCGTGTGTGTGTGTGTGACACATGTGTGAAATAGTTGTTGTTTTTAAGGATTTTGTTGCCTTTTTGTTGTAACCACCATGGTTTCCTGACAAAATAGTTAACATAAAATCATCACAATTTTGAATGCATAAGTCAAAAAAATTGTAGCTTAGGGAAAATGTATTTTCAAAGGGTCACAAATTGGGTCACGCAGGCCCATCTTACGTTCAGCCCTTTCAAACACTTTTTTTCTTCTTCAAAAAGCCAAAAGTTTTTATTTAACTGTTAAACCTTTTTTTTTTTTAAAATAACAATATACTTATTATGAAAACCAAGTAAATTACACAAGACTAATTCAGTGGGCGACAGCAGAGGGTCTGGAAATATTCAACACCACAGGGACGACATGGGCGGACTTTTAACTGGTACTATATATATATATATACATATACATATACATATATATATATATACATATACATATACATATATATATATATATATATATATATATATATATATATATATATATATATATATATATATATATATATATATATATATATATATATATATATATTATATAGATACATTTGCTGCCTTATGCAATCAATGTATGTGTATGCTATTGCTAAGACTGCAGGCTGTCTATGTTTTCCCACAAGGGACAATGATGGACATTGCCTGGTTTTCGTTGGCACAAAAATAGAGCAACTATGAGGGGACGTGTTTGCTACGAAATTGAAACTGCATTTACCTGATTATCAGAGATACCAAAAATATTTAAAGACCCTTTGCAAAACCTTGAGAAATATTGGCTATATGGCACAAGTTTAACTTTTTTTTAACCACCCAATTAGCACTTGATGAGTGATATGCTGCCTTTACTTCCCATAACATTTCCTGCTACTCATTCTGTTCCTTGTCAGCGTGGAAATTCTTTCCTTCTTACTTCAAGGGCGGATTCAAACACATAAGTACTCAGTCAGCAAGCAAGTATGAAGGATTAACCCACTTCATCCTGAGTTGCCAATATTTGTGTTGTGCCATTCATTACTTATCCCCAGGAAGCCCAAACATCACTTAATTCTCCACTCTGCCTGTTTACTGATCACTCTCCTTAATATATCTTATCTTTTTTCTTTTCATTTTAAATTTCTTTGTGTGTGTGTGTGTGTGTGTGCGCGCGCGCGTGCGTGCGTGTGTGTGTGTGTGACACATGTGTGAAATAGTTGTTGTTTTTAAGGATTTTGTTGCCTTTTTGTTGTAACCACCATGGTTTCCTGACAAAATAGTTAACATAAAATCATCACAATTTTGAATGCATAAGTCAAAAAAATTGTAGCTTAGGGAAAATGTATTTTCAAAGGGTCACAAATTGGGTCACGCAGGCCCATCTTACGTTCAGCCCTTTCAAACACTTTTTTTCTTCTTCAAAAAGCCAAAAGTTTTTTTTTAACTGTTAAACCTTTTTTTTTTTTAAAATAACAATATACTTATTATGAAAACCAAGTAAATTACACAAGACTAATTCAGTGGGCGACAGCAGAGGGTCTGGAAATATTCAACACCACAGGGACGACATGGGCGGACTTTTAACTGGTACTATTAGCATATCGACTCTTCCTTGGCCACTGAGGATGGAGATAAAAGCACGTATGATATTTTCCCAGTACAGGGAGGTCAATTCCTGATTCATTCATTCATTTATAAACACATCCTTACCTACCTACACACACATACATACCAGGCATACATAATACACTCATATATACACAAACACCATGTCCATGTATGCACACACACACTCATAAATACCTGTATATAAACATAAACACCTACACAACCATACCCACACACATGTTTACTGTGTTAAGACATCAAGTATACCCAAAATCTCCAGCAAAATCTCAATAAAGTCCAGGCTGCTAGTTCTAGACACTTTAAAAGCCAAAGTTTTGAGAACTCTCATCTCTGACTGTAAAATGCTTTCACAAGAGTAACTATAGCCTGCATCCAGCAGACATCTCCTGGCTCGTTTTACTGTAATAACCTGTAAGCCAAATTTAAAATAAAATGTTAAAAAAAATAAGACAAAGTTGCCATTTTTATCTGCAAAACTGAGATCTATACATGTTGCTTACCAAACGATTTAAAACATCTGAACTTCAGCTGCACTTTTCTTCTTCTTCTTCTTAGTGTTCCTTGGCTGTGAACTCCAATGGGAAAGTTCAGGTTGTTCATCTACTCCTGGACTTTGATACTGATCCAGAAGTTGAGGTTTTTCATGCACATCTGTTTTACGGATCTAGCTTATTTGCAGGCAGACTTTTGGTTCCTTGCCTCTCAGGCAGCAGATGCTCTTTGACGGAAACACCCCTAATTAATGGCTTTTTACAACATGCATGCTGGGGGCGGGAGGGAGGATAGGGAGTCTGTTCTTTATACTCCTAAATTAATTTACAGAATCCACACATGGAGCAGATGCACTGATTCTAGACACTTGTCAGTCTGCCTCAAAATACTGGGTTTCAGATCTGCATCAAGGAGATTTGTCATAACCCCCTTGGACTCCCAGGTGAATTCAGATGAAGATGGATACCACTAAGTATTATGGGAAGTAAAGGTGGCTGGTATGACATTGAGAACATTATCCACTTAGTGGTGACTGGTATTTACAATATATGAGTCAAGTATCATATGTCCAATGCACCATGACTGCCTGGATATAGCACTTTTGCCAAGTAGGCAACAGGGTCTGAGCATGAGGATTTTAGTCCCATACCCTTCCTGAAAGGAAGTCAACGAACTTTTCATTATGACTAATGGTGCGTATTCTGGAATCACAAGAGCTAATAGACTGGCGGTTGGGGCACAAAGAGAGACAAAAACTACATACACAAGAGGCAGCAAACCATGAGGCACATCAAGAAAATTGTGGAGGGATGATATACGGGCAGACCAACAAACACTTGTCCCTTTTCTTCTGTGTTCTCCCTAAAAAATGTGGTTGGTACGCTAGGTTGTGGTTTACAGCTAAGCTGCAATATCTGTGCATTTTGGCCCAGCACATTCAATTTCAGCAAATCCTTTATTAGGAATCTTTTATGAGATGTTAACAGGGAAGCAAAAATCATCATTTCACAAAAGAGATAGAGGATATATATATATATAGCTTCCAAAAAAACACTACCCTGCACAGGCTGAGAGAGAGTGGGAGAAGTAAGGAAGAAGAGAGGAAAAGAAAGAAAGAAAGAAAGAAAGAAAGAAAGAAAGGAAGGAAGGAAGGAAGGAAGGAAGGAAGGAAGGAAGGAAGGAAGGAAGGAAGGAAGGAAGGAAGGAAGGAAGGAAGGAAGGAAGGAAGGAAGGAAGGAAGGAAGGAAGGAAGGAAGGAAGGAAGGAAGGAAGGAAGGAAGGAAGGAAGGAAGGAAGGAAGGAAGGAAGGAAGGAAGGAAGGAAGGAAGGAAGGAAGGAAGGAAGGAAGGAAGGAAGGAAGGAAGGAAGGAAGGAAGGAAGGAAGAACAACGCAGTCCAATGAATTACTTTCAACATTACCTCATAATGGGAATTCAACTTGCTGGCAATCTGACAGCATGAAAGGATGCGCAGAAAAGCCTGGTTTTTAACGCGACCTAGTATACATTCCCAGTCAGTTCTCTTACTGTTGCTTTTGGAGTTTTGTACATGAGCATACAAATCCAGTATGTGTTTCAGCATAAATCTGCAAAATGACCATCACAGGTATTTTATGTTTTCATGAATGCAGTTTTTGCAGACCCCTGGGGGATTGTTGGACTTATACGGTGTATGTACTTTGTGCAACACTTTTGGTAAAGATGGCCATTCTGCAGAGAGACCGAGCCATTTGAGATAAAAACCGGGTGTAATGATGTCGATCCTCTTGACTGTAACCCTTAACCTTTAAGTTGTATATCCTTTACATGATGTTCCAAACCAAAGCACACAATTATTTGCTGCTGTGTGGTTTTACTTGGAAATTTCAAGTTCAGTAGTTAATCAGTATTTCTCAAGGGAACTATGTTTTAAGGCATTCCACATGAAAAAAAGCAGCTCACAGTGTCATGCCATGCACTTAACTCAGTAGCGGGGTATTGGAACTATTTCTTTTCATTCTTTATGCTGAGGAAAATGTAACACCTAAGAGAAGCAAAAATTGTAGTGACTAAAAACAGGAAACCTACTTGTCCACTTAAAAGGGAGGTGGCAATTGTGATATCTGCACACATTTGTCGTGACTGAAAACAGGAAACTTATTTGTCTACTTCAAAGGGAGGTGGCACATTGTGATATCTGCACACATTTGTCGTGACTGAAAACAGGAAACCTACTTGTCTACTTAAAAGGGAGGTGGCACATTGTGATATCTGCACACATTTGTCGTGACTGAAAACAAAAAACCTACTTGTCTACTTAAAAGGCAGATGGCACATTGTGATATCTGCACCTTTTGGGCTCACTCATCCGCTTTCAGCAAACCCTGTTTAGTCACTTTTTTATGACATGTTTGTTAGGAGACTGTGGGTCTATTCTTTATTCCCCCAAAATGGGAGATCGCAAATGGAAAAAATGTGGGTATGAAAATTGGGTACTCTTATGTAGAATAATGCTTCTAGCTTTTGCTGGTAATGAGTCCAGAAGGGAAGCTTCAACAGGGAAGCAGAGTCCTGCTTTTCTGATCCGGCAACTTCAGCAGCCTGCTTAGTTGCAAACGTATTGATGTTATCATTCCTTTGGTTAGTTAGTTAGTTAGTTAATCAACAGATTATCTTCACTGCACATAGGACAGGTCCATAAGCCCTCAGATCCCATCTTCACTATATCCCTCAGCATGTGGTGACTGATAACACCAGTTGTGTTGGATATTTCTTCTTTGGCTACCTGTATAGTTTTCCTGTCTGGCGACACCTTTTTTGACCTGAAGTTCTTGTAGTCTTTTGAGTGTTGCCGATTCAACTAGGGCTGTACCGAATATTCACTTCGTATTTGCTTCAGGGCCGAATAGCAGACTTAATAGCTATTCGGTCGAATAGTGGTTACCTCACACCCGTTTTGCATACACTGCAATGAACTGAAATAACTCTCTCATTAACACAATAGTTACTGTTGCCAAAGTCTGTCGTAGCGGGGGAAACTGCGACCCGGTTGCGTGGTACAGCAGCTGGCAAGGTCTTTGCCTGCCTGCCGAGCCATTATAGCAGAGGTTCTCAAACTGGGTGCGAATAGCAGGGGTGCCGCAGCGAAAATCAAGAAAAGTCGGCTATAAATTGTGACATTATTAAAGAAGGCATGAGGATACTTAAAAGTTAAAATTTAAATTGTCTTTCCTAGCCACTGTCAAAATGAGTTTGTTTTCCCTTGTTTCACACTCAAAGTGTATCATACTGCATAAAATGCCAACCGCAGCGTGCTAAAAATTGTCTTTGTATTTATCTTGAGGTGCGACTGATCCTCCATCTGTATTCGTGAAGGTGCAGCGGATAAGTAAGGTTGTGATTACATTTTGGCTGAAATTTTAAAGTGGAAAATGTAGTCTGTACAATAATCACTGTTAGCCTTGTCAAGTAAGCACTTATATTTAAAGGCAATGTGTTGTGAGTCCTGGACAATCAGTAGGCTGGCCAAACAATTTCTTGAGGCCTCAGAGATGTGGTATTACAGAACAATACTTAAAATACTCTGGACAGCCAAAAAAAAATAAAAAGCAACCAAGAGGTTTTGAAAGAGGCAGAAGCCCGAAGATAACTAATCACAGACATCAGAAGGAGACAGTCATCATTTTTCGGCCAAGTTATGAGAAAAGGGAAAATGGAACATGTGGTGACCACTGGAAAGATCTGTGGAAGGAGGGATAGAGGAAGACAGAGAGAAGATTCTTGACAGTCTTGTTGCATGGCATGGAGGTGTGTCAGCACACGAACTAATACATGCTGCAGGAGATCGCAGATTGTGGCGAGGCATATTCGCCGACGCCCACGCCAGTCGGCAAGGCACCTGATGATGATGATACACTATTCATATTCGTATTTGGCCGACTAGTTGGTCCCGCTATTCATATTCGGCCTAAGCCCTAGATTCAACATCATCTCCTGAATCATCTTCTCGCCCTGGCTCCTTGACAGCACTGAGAATGTCGGCCCGGCCCATAGTTTTTCCTGTGCCCACCGCCAGCGAGAGATCATACTACAGAGCAAGATGTGAACTCTACAATACAGTTCAGGCTTTATGCTTGGGACTTTTATAAATCTAACCAGGTCTTGCTAGTCACTCGCTATCGCAATGGCTGTGATTCTCAAGCTTCCCAATAGCACAATACAACACTACTAACTCGAATGACAGAATTAAAGAGACAACTTTACCTGTCAAATATATCTAGAGCGGCAAACTTGGCCTGACAAGGAAGCTCAAATCTATCACACATCAGAAACACACACTCAGACCAGCTGCCTTGTATGAAGATATTCTGGCAGGTTGGAGAAAAAGGGAATAATACATTTTAAATAAAGCTGAATAACATAAATATCAGGTAACTTGATTGAGTAACTATTTATAGCTAGGAGACAATGTGTAAATCCCATCTTGTAAATCCGAGCCACCACATGGTGTGTTCTCTAGCTACAGCTACACTAAAACAATCTGGCTTCTATAATGGTCATTTCCATAAATGCTAGCAATGATTATTTGTAAAAGTCATTATCTGCCACTTAGAGAAGCTGCTGCAAACATTCTTGAACTGAAAGAGTTAACAGTTACATTTGCTTTCCGGTATAAAACAGATTGTACTTAAGTTATAATTAACAAACATCTCTGACTTGGTGCATGGTTATACAGGCAGAACGAGTTCTAGTTTCACCATCTGTATTATTTAACTTGTTTAGTTCCAAAATATGTTCACAGCAGAAACACAAAAGAAGAAAAAAGCAATAACCCACATAAGACAGGTTTAGTTGCAACCATATTGGTCCTAATATACTTACTTACTTACTTAGTCGCTCCTCTTCTACCTTGGGGTGTAGAGGTTTGCCAGAGAGATCGCCAGACGTCTCTATCAGCAGTTTTCTTTCTGGCTTTGTTCCATTCCAGTCCTCTGTCAGTCAGGGACTGTCGGATGTTGTCTTCCCAGCGCACCCTGGGTCGTCCCGGAGGTCTGGTTCCCTGGTTCTTAGCCTCCCATGCCTGCAATGGTGGCCGATTTTCTCCCATTCTGCACACATGTCCAAACCATCGTAACTGTGACTGATCTACTCGGGTTAGTAAGGGCTGGGTATCAAGATCTTGACGTATTGTCTGATTGCGGACTTTGTCCCTTCTTGTCACTTGGACCACCTTCTCAGGTATCTCATTTCCGAGGCCTGCAGCTGGCTTCTGTGAGCTGTTGTCATTGCCCATGACTCACACCCATAGGTCAGGACTGGTACATAGGTAGAGCGGTAAACAGCCATTTTCGTCCTCTTGCCAATTTCTCTTTTGCTAAGAAACCCTCGGTTTATGGCCTGGAAGAGTCTCCCAGCAGCTGCTTTTCGTGTAGCCAGCTCAGTCTTAATGCCTCCATTTTGGTCTAATACAACTACAAAGTATTTGAACTGGTTAACCTGCTACAACACATTCTGTCCCATCATGATCTGGTGTTTCTTCTCCTCTCTTGAGATCACAATGGTTTTAGTTTTGGAGACACTGATGGTCATCCCTTTCTTTTCAAGCTCTTCCTTCCAGACAAGTAAGTTGGACTGAAGGTGTGCCTCTGATTTAGCTATCAGGGCCACATCGTCTGCAAAAGCCAGCTCTGATTTACAGATTGGTCTCATCTTCCAGTACCCTACAGAGTACTTCTTTGTCTTCTCCTTACAGGTCTTGATGACATCATCCATCATAAGAATGAAGAGGTAAGGTGAGAGAATATCACCTTGTCTAACACCGCTGGTGGTCTTAAATTTTTCTGACTTTTGGTCTGCTGTTCTTACATAATTTCTGCACTTTTTGTAGAAACTCTGTATTGCACTGATCAGGGGTGCTGGGATGTTTTTCCCTGCCAAGCAGTTTCAGAGCTTGTTCCAGGGTACCTTGTCAAATGCCTTTTCCAGATCCAAAAAACATAAATGCATCTCACTCTTATATTCCAGGGCTTTTTCACTTATCTGTCTCAGTGTGAAGATAAGGTCTTGAGTACTTCGGTTTGCTCTGAAGCCGCATTGGGCCTCGTCGAGCTGTGGCTCTACCAGACTTCTAAGTCTCTGCTCAAGAATTCTAGAGTAACTTTTACCGGGAACGCTGAGGAGGGATATGCCTCTGTGGTTTTCACATTGTCTGTTATCACCTTTTTTCAATATAGGTATAATGTTGGCAATCTCCCAATCTTTTGGTATAGTTTTGCTACACCAGGCTGCCTGGAGAACCTTCAGTAGAAGACGCTCACCTTTGACTCCCATATATTTGACCATCTCTGGTGTTATACCATCATGACCTGCTGCTTTTCCCAGCTTAATCTTCTCAATAGCTGCCTTCAATTCTTCCATCCTGATGTTATCTTCCCCATGATTGAATTCCGTCTCAGCAGTGAGGTCCATTATACCTAATATACATGTTTTATTTATTGAAAAGATTTGTATTGAATGAGGAATGAAATAATTGAATAGAGTGTCTCAACTTTGCTCTTGTTAGTTCGCAACTCGAGAATGGCTTTTTGTGTTACTGGATATTATCTTTTAGGCTGCAATTCCAGAAGGAGAGAAGTATTTTATTTTTTAAAGAAAAAGAACCATTATGAATAGTCTCTAATGCATTATTATAAAAGCTGCTAAATTCAGCTGAGGCAGTGGTAGCCAACTGGCTAGTCGTGTAGTCAGCCTAAAAGTCTTGAGTCAAATTAGCATAAAGACAGATTTCCAAGTCCACCCCAGCCTCAAACAAGGAAATGTACTGGGAAATAAAAGTGGCCAGAGTCATGCTGACCACATCACCCACTGAGTGCCCCTTAGTCTGAAAATGCAGATCTAGCACCATATGCCAGATGCACTGATGGCGGAGAGGGATCCTGTACATCACTTTTTAAATGCACAGTGTGATCAGCCACAGGGGATGCCAGAATCCCTCAGAATGCTCTGACAAAATGTAACATTCTACAGCAGTGATTCCCAAACTGTACACCGCAGCGCTCCAGGGAGCCATGACCTCTTCACAGGGGCACCGCCAAATATTAGAAGATAAACTATTTTTTTTTCTATTTCTTACATACGAATAGTCACACTTTTACTTGGGTTAGGGTGCCATGGACAATTTTTATTGAAAATAGGAGCCATGACTAAAAAAAAAGTTTGGGAGACACTGTTCTAGAGAATACATTTCACAATGGAAGATATTCATGGGCCCCAGTTCAGTCCCACATCGTGCTTAAGCTGGGACTGAAAGAGGTTAGGATGATTCTAAAAAAACATAGGTGTGGTTGATTCATGCTACACCACTGCAACTCCCTTGTTAAAATGAATGCCTAACTAAATTTGATTGCACTTAAAGATTGCCGGAAAGCTAGGCAAAAAGTTTTATAAAGGTATATTTACCTAGCAGAAGGCTAACCAAATTCATGAGTTATGCGCACAATACCTCTGCCTACATGCTTTTTTGTATCTGACGAAGCATACAGAGCAAATAAATTAGTTGTCGATTCTGCTTATTTTGCAGTCTATTAAAAATCACCGATTTTTATTTAACATATGCAAAAGTCGGTTAATTTTGGGACACACTTTTCTCATATTTTATTTGAGGTCACGCTACTTCCGGGGTAAGACAATCATGTTCCAGCGTAATACCTAATAATAATCCTCTTGTGCTGTTGTAGACCACACAGGACTCACAGTCTGTTTCCCCACTCCATCCTTTCCTGTGCATGTCTTTGGATATCATGGATGGAATGCAGTCCAGCACCTTTGGCCTCTTTCAACAACATTCATCTTAGAGTTTCTTATAGATGTTCTCGCTTCCTCAATCCATCTGTTTCTCATTTCAGTACCTGCTTGGACTTTTGCTTCTGATATTTATGAGGGGTTCTATAATAGACAGGAGATGGTTGTGGTGGCATTTGATCTTAAGGATGCCTATAATAGAGTAAGATATGATATTTTGATATCTGTGCTCACGGAGAAGGGTTATTGTCCCTGGCTTGTGAACTGGATAACAGCTGTCCTACATGCATGTATGTATGCCCTTTGCCTGGGTACATGGACCTCAGAACCAATTAATATCGCCCTGGAACTATACAATTTAACCAGTGCTCTTTAATGTGTATACAAGCAAGATTGCAGTACTTGAAGCACCAGGTGTTTAAAAGATATTGATATTTGCATATGATGTTCTTGCATTTAGGCAGGGGAGTGATGGGCAAAAGATAGCCCAAGAGTAACAGGGAACTGTAGAAAAAGGAACTGATTGGTGTGCAGAAACAGGTGCTGTCATCAACTCAGAAAAGGCGGCTATTTTGTGGTGCTCTCTGGACAATAGAATTGTAAGAGCTAATGTTCCAAACCTCATAATTAATTGCAGTGACATCAAAAGAGAAAGCAAACTGAAGAACCAGAGTATCACTTTCAATTGAAGCCTTCCTTCAGGGATCATGTGGAGGCAGTTGCGATAAAATGCCCAAAAGGACTCAATGCTCTCAAGATTATGGCAGCAATGGACATGAAACAAAGAATACTGTTCACAATGTTCTAGCATGTGAACCTGTCAGTGATAGATTATGGACTTGGTATGCTTTCCAATATCAAAAAGTCAGTCGATGAAACATTAGTGCTTGCAGAATGAAGCCATGTGGGTAATGTTGGGATGTACAAGAGATACACTGGTAGTATGTATGCGATATATACTTGCACTGCCTACTATTCCAGATAGGCTCAAAGTTCTGCATGCAAAGTCATATCTCAGAGTAGCTGTAGACAATAAGCACCTCCTGCACAAAGCCCTGGGTAGAGCTAAGGGTCAGAGACTGCAAAGAGAAAGGTCTTGGATGGCGCAAGCTGAAGACACAATTAGACTTGTGTGGCAGGTGTGATAATTTTGAGCGAGGAAAGGAGTGGGTCAAAATGTCTGAGCAGTGTAGGATTCTTATCACTTTAGGTCATGAGTGCAAGGACTGGCCAGCTGGTGCTGCAGGATCAGAAGTTCAAAAAATGATTCTTGACAATTTCTGCCCAGGTGATGTGATTATCTATATTAATAGCTCTGTGTTGGGGGGGGGGGGGGGGGGGAAAAAAAAAGTGCATGGGGGTTCATAGCAAAAGCTAATGGATGTCGCTCACAGCAGCAAAGCCTGGCATATAATATCGCTACATCTAGTTTGAGAATGGAGATGGAGGCAGTTACTGCTTGCTGCCTTGAGAATAAACTGTACACACAGGCTGCGATTGTAACTGACACAGAGCATGTTGAGGAAGGTGAAAACAGGCATGCTTTGTGCAGAGTGGCAAGCATAACTTCAGAGGTTCCAGGTAGTCAGTATTCTTTGGATATTTTGTCCAGGTATGCCGGTGTGTTGGGAAATGTGCAGCCAGATAGACTGGCCGGTTGCCAGCTGTGTACCACTTGATGATGAACTGATGTATGACAATCTAGATGTTGTGAGGGCCCTTTGAGAGCGAGTGAACAGTGCAGAGACACAGATAGATCACTAGTCCGAGGTGAATGGCTCTACGAGGAATTACCAGATCTGGCGACGCTCAAAACTCAAGGAAACGGCGAAACAGATGTACAATCAGACAGTTGCTGGTACCATCGGAACTGGAACTCTACTTGCTGCTGAAAATGGGGACGAAGCCCTTACAAGTGTGAACCGAGTGCTATGATGTAGCGACTACAGTTTCGACAATTTGCGGTCTTTTCGTCAATTTCCGTTACCCGGAAACCGTTCAGAACTTGTTCTGGAAATCTCGGCTGGTTTCCGGATGGGTCCAAATCTCATGAAAATTCGCGATTGGTGGGAATTTGGACCAGCTATAAATAGCTGAAAACAGCGTGGGGGAACCCGAATAACAGCGCATGTTTACGACAGCCAGACTCCTCTGTTTTTCTGTTAGTCATCAGTTTGATTGAAAATAGCGGTAAATTCGAGGTTGGCTTTAGGCCTTAAACATTACCAGATGTGGTAATGCTAGTTACAGTTGAATTCTCGGTCCAATTTTACATTTGCATATAAAATTTCTTTCCCGTCTTTGGCTGTTTAGATTTACAGTGACATATTTTAGGCAATCGCATGCGGCTGAGTCTCATTGCCTGCCATCTTGTCCAATGACAGTCCAATGTCAACAAAGCCGATACAGAACTGCGCAGTAGGTTGCGCAGTGAAAAACTTCTTGTTTCTGGGTCACAAGTTTTAGCGGCTGTTTCTTACATCTCATCTCCACAAAAACCTACATATCTCAGCTCAGAAATGACATACAAGCCTAAATGAGGTACAATTGGAAAGAGATTGTTTACAGCTATCTAACTGTGCTGGTTTTATTGGTGTAGAGGGCATTTTAAAAATTTGACTGAAGTACCTATATGATGTCGATTCTTAACTCAACATTCAGTGCCTGCTGGGTGATTCTCTATTATTTACCATGATTTACGCGGTTGTCTAGACACTGCTAAACAGCAGTGCTAATAGACGTTAACTGATTCACTAATATTTATACTTTTTTAACCTAATTTTCTATACGTTAGCTTTGGTTTACCTGTGTGACAGAGGCAGCCGTTATATTCTGGGAGTTGGTAACGGCCATATTCACAAGCCAGTCTTGCAGAACTTCTGCACTGGCACCATTTCCATCGTTGTTGAATAACGGTTCAGACGGGGTTCCAAATATGCCTTCCTGCTGGCATGATGTTTTATTTACTGGCATATTTATTCTGCTTATGCCACATAACAGATAACAAAATGACAAAAAGGAATAAATAAAGCGACTATGTAAAATCTGTCAGTTTGCAAAAGTTCCCTCTCCAGCGGAAACTCAGTGTTTATTAAACTTCATTGACTGAAGAAGGAGGAATTTTAGTTCATTGCACAATTTAAAAATACAAAACAAATGTACTATACCATCACAGTCTGCTATTTTAAAAGTAAATCACTAATTAAGTTGAATTATATTAAAAACTGACACCATAGTACTTGGGACATTCCCACAATTTAACCGACCCCCATCTTCAGCAGCCATCTGCAGTCCAATTCCGAAGGTACCACCAGCAGTTTTATCAATCAGGTCGTTGTTGGGGCGACGCTTGCTGGTGGATGTAATGTCCTAAATCCCTTCCCTAGCTAATAGTAGGGTACTGCTGGGGTGACAGTTTATTAACCCTGACATAATGCTTCAGGTCCAAATGAACACTAGGCACTGCCACTGTTTTGAGCCGAAGCAAAAATTTTTTGCTTCTGCCAGACTGTGGCCGTGGCTTTTTTTTTTTTTTGTGTGCTCCTTTTGTAGACTGGAAGTATATAGTTTCGTTACTCAGCTTCTGAGCTGAGTGCATGGCGTGACACTGTGAGCTGCGGATTTCATTTCGAATGTTTGTCGACTGACCAACGTGGTGGTGTGATTTGTAGATTCAGAAAATGGCGCGATGCCGGTTGTCGCAATATTGGTGGGGCCATTATTTGATTTAAATTGATCGCGTGTGCAACTGCTGATCTTTTGGTGACTTCTGCTACCATCAATGATGAACTGCATTTCTAACGTCAGACTGTTTGTGTTAGCCCTTCGGATGGCTACCATATGCTTTTAATGCGAGTGTATGCTAGATTTGCCGAGATAGCAGTTTGTCAGTCTTTTCACAAGGGACTGTGATAAACATTCTGTGTGTTTTTCGTTGGCACAGGAGCGTAGCAAAGATGGGGTGACCCATTTGCTATGAAGCTGAAATTAAAATTACCAGATTATCAGTTAGATTATTTTATTCGTCCGTTGTTCACTACTCCCGATGACTAAGTGTCAACCAGATCCTCTGGTTTAAAAAAGTTTGCGATTTCACAAATATTTATATTTAAATATATTTATTATAACTTTCTGAATGTTACCTAAATAAAAATTAAAGAAATTGATGACAGCTAGAGAACTGTACAGACAGCACCAAGATCTGCTTGAAAGAGATGTAGCTCTGTGCGAAAAAACTTGGGCCAGAACCATGGACAAGCAAGCCAGAGAAGGCAAATGTAGTTATAAAGGTACCAGGGATCACTTCAAAAGATGGCCAGACGGAGACACAACAGAGAACCATGGCTCTTGCTATGCTTGATGAGAAGTATCAAAACACCACTTGGACTCAGGTTTTTACCGACGGCTCTGCTATAGATGCAGTCAGAAAGGGGGTTGTGGAATATACATTAAACCCCCTAGCAGTAGAGCAGAAACTCTCTCTCTCTCTCTCTCTCTCTCTCTCTCTTTCTCTCTCTCTCTCTACCAGCAGGTGACATCTGCACTAACTTCAGAGCTGAGGCAACTGCCCACTTTCTGCAGTCCAACATCTCATCACTCAAGAACACAGAGGACCAACACTGGCTTACTCTTCAAGGAAGCAGAACTGGTCTTGCAGTGGATACCAGCCCACTGTGGTATTCAAGGAAATGGGAGAGCAGATGAGTTGGCAAAAGCTGGGAGTAATCTTCCACAACCTTATCCACCACACAACTACAAGGAAACCAAAACAGCACTAAAGCAGTCTTTCAAGCGGGAGTGGAGAAAGCAGAATTGAGATTACAGACCAGAGAGTGACAGCATAAACAAACTCAACAGGAAAGAAAAAACATCAATTTTTAGACTTCGGACTGGACACTGTGGTCTTCGAGCACACCTGTACAGGATAGGCATAACAGATCTGCTGCCTGTGATTGTGGAGCAGAAAGACAGACCCCTGAGCACATACTGCAGTACTGCCCTTACCTCTCCCAGCAAAGACTGTGGATCTGGCCCATGGGATCCACATTGCGAGAGAAGCTATGGGGGACCGGTGGCGACCTTAAACGCACAATCCTATTTTTGACCCAGACGGGACTCAATGTGTAGCATGACTGATGTCGAACGCAGAAGAAGAAAAGAAATTGATGTCAACAATAAGTTAGTTAGTCTTTCCTCTTGTGTCGAGTGCGGCACATAGGGCAGAGGTCGCGACTCTCCGTGCACGGCGGTCCGTTGCAATCCGTTGTAGGTCTTGGATGTTTGAGTGGCCCATGAGCGAGCCTTCCCTGATGATAGTTCTACGTAGGGTTTCCCTTGGTCTTCCACGAGATCTTTTCCCCTGTGGTGTCCAAATGAGGGCTTGGTAAGGAAGTCTTGATTTATCAACAATAAGACCTCCCTTCAAAAGACTCTTGTGTATTGAAGACCTAGAAGTAAAGGAGATCGTGGGTTATCGATCGTGAGACAGCCCAAGTCTGCGACCTGACTACAACAACGACTTTTGTTATACCCTTTCAATTAAATATTTGCTTTAATTATAATATTCCGAACTGTATAGAATATGTGTAATGTGTTGACGACAATCCCTTTTTTAAATGTATAATATTAAGGTAAGTCTAAGAAAACCTTCAGACGAGTATTTATTCATAAAATAATAATTAATAAATGAACATTCATTGTGGGTCAGAATTAAAAATAAAATAGGAAGGAGGTATCAATTAGTATCATCTATCAATATCATCACCCGTTATGTGATCGTGTTATGTTGAGAAAGATCACTCACGGTGAAAAATTGATTTCTATTTCGTTGTTTAAATTGCTGTTTGTATTAACATGGTACGTTTACGCTTTAAAACATGCGTTTTTACACTACTGCAGTACACTGCTTAGATCGTAAATAAGTAAATATTTGATATAGCGGCCTCTGTGGAGTTCAGTTAAGTTTAGTCGTTTTTTTACGTTTTAAAACAGGTTTAGTTTGAGGTTCCAACCTGACAAACCTGTTTTAAAACTACTAAACTGAACTCCACATATAGGTCGCTCTATCAGATAAAAACAGATTGTGACCATTGAGGTGAATTATTCACTGAATACATTACATTTTATATACATACTCATACACATCAAATAAAAGGCTACCAACTGATACCCGCCCATCAGTCATCAGAGATACTCATACAATACATCTCACCACAAGCTATCTTGTCAACTATATATAGGGATTCAGATTATTTTATTTGGTTTAAAAAAAATGTCAATAATGACTACATTCTACAAATGACAGTTCTGTGGGAGAAACCATGATAACGATAAAGGATTAAAAGTATTAGTTAAGTATTATTAGTAATTTACGGTATAATTTAGCCATTCCATTATTATGATATGGGATTACGTCAGTTAGTCAGTCAGAATACTATTTCTTCTATTCTTCTAATTACCTCATCGCAATGTTGAGAGGAGGTGATGTATTGTAAGGATCTTCTATATATTTTTTTTAATAAATATGTTTAACTTGAAAAGATATTCCCCCTGAAGTGTATGCTTGGCCGCACTAATATGTGTAGGGTTCCATAATGATGTCTATATGTGATCAGCTTGAATACCAACAAGTCAACATGGTTTGAATATTAAATAGCTCAATCCAAAAACCAAGTCTAAGGTACAGTAAGGCATGATTTTATGCCGTGAACAGTTGAAAAGGTCCGGCAAGAACAATCTGAAACTTCAAATGCCATTGGACAATGGCAGCAGTAATAAACAACTTCAAGGAATCATAATGTTATTGAACTTGATAAGACCATGCGTAGATTGTACCAAAAGGTATATTAACATATGATCAATCTCAGTGAGATGTACAAAATTTTACACGTGAAAAAAAGTACTCCCCAAAATTCAATATAACGAAAACAACTCCTGTCGTACTGACACTGGCTCTCAAAGAAGATTTAATTCACATATATAATCTCAGCGATAGGTCATCATCTCGACCTTGAAACCTTAAAATGGTTCTATCACATATCATTATCCTGCAGAAATGCTGACACATATTAAAATTGCCATTACTTCAAACATCCAGATGCTGATCTAAATTATCGTATTTCATATTCCTACTCACGCAGATGTGACAGTTGATGTTTTAGCATGATAAGCTGATCTTCACTGAGAGGCTTCCCAAGTACATCTATTGGAATCCACATAACTTGGGGACACATATCCGCCCTTTTCTGCAAACTTTCCTTGGAGCTTAGTCTCCTAACGATATGTAACAATCTCTTATATCTTATTTGCACTATTCTATTGGTGTACTTCAGTGTGAGATCTTCACGCGACCACACCTCGCCCTCCCCCCAGGAGAATCTGTCAGCTTCACATTATCTCAAACACAAATTGAACTTTGCAGCTAGAGAGCCTTCCTCAGCTCATTATATTACATAAATCTACAATTCCACAAATATGAACAAGAATGCACAAATCACTTAACTGATGTGTCTTGGATAGAAATAACATTTTTGTCTGGCCAGTAGAATTAGATGCACAACTTCCCTTCTGGGTAAGGCTGCTGCTGTTGAGCACCCATGATTACACTGTTTATTTATTTATTCTAGTATGTTGCATAAGTTGATCTGCATTTCTTTAGGGCTGTTCTTGGTGTCATCATCCCATCTTGTGCATGGTTTTCCCATTGTTCTATGTTGATTTCATTTCTGCCATCATCCCATCTTGTGCATGGTTTTCCCATTGTTCTGTGTTGATTTCATTTCTCTAGCATGGTATTCTGCAACAGTTGATACTATATAACAGGGTATATTTTAAAGGGGATAGAGAGAAGATATAAAAGTAGAGAGAGAGACAGACGAGAAGAAATAATAGTTGAAGGATGTATATGAGGACAATAGGTTCTCCTGTGTGGAGAGTGTAGTAATAAGTCTACACCCCAAACGATCAGGTAATAG